CCTCTGGAGAGCTACGGTTGGATTCTAAAATGTTGTTTAAAGTTGTTCTCGGTATAGAATTTTCTTTGGCAAAAGTAGCTTTTGAAAGGTTAGATTTTTTAAACTTTTCAACCAATTCATTTTTTTTTCGATATTGTTAAATTCTTTCTTTTCGAAGCCGTAATGAAAGCATGGATACGTTATTCGTTCAGTAATCCAATAAAAATGTTCTTTTTTCTCAATTTCAACTCCTTTTCAAGCTCTGAGAGATAACTTCAAATGATCAAAAGACCTTTTGCCCTTGGGCGAGGAAAAGAACGCGAGTGGTCAAATGAGGAGAGGGTAAGGTCATCAATGAATGTAAAAGAGAAAAGAGGGTAGTATTGTTACATACGGAAATTTCTTTTTATTAGAATGTCATATTACAGCTCAAGAGAAATAACAAAGTTGATTAAGAAATTGATTAACCCTTAAACTATTTAGGGTTTGAGAACACTTAGCCCACCACCCATGTGATTCAGGCATTGTAGATGCGCCATCTTCTTTGAGGTCATCGTGTTCCTCGTAATCACTGAAATAACCCTCCCCATCCTCATCTTCCTCATCTTCCAGATAAGCCCAAAATTCAGCACGTTTACACATAATATCAATATTCCTATCTGATGCCTCGATGCACAAATCTATCCTGTTCATATCAAAACGTTTTAATGGAGTTTCATCAACAGGAAATGAATCCAAAAAATCTCTGAAGTACTGAAGGGAGGATCTTCGTAACAACAAAAAACTTTTTATCTTACCGTAGGTATGATTACCACCGGTTCTATATACATATTTTTCAATAGGTGTAATAGCCTCTACCATCAAAAATCCAATTTTTTTCTTCTCTTCGTCCAAGAAATGCAATTGGTATTTATGGCGTAATGCTCTTAGAAGGTGTGCTGTACAGCTCCTTGTAATATCCATTAAAGAAGTAGAAATTTCTTCTAAAGCATTAAAGTTTCTGTCACGCAAATTATAACTATAAAATTTACTAAGACTAGAACCATACAAATTGATAAGACGTTTGAATTCTTGAATGAAATGCATTAAATACTCTTCTGAATTCTGTTTTCCACAGTCAAAGTTATCAATATCCAAAAGAAATCGAGATAAAAACTCACTTACTTCTTTTAAGTCATGAGTTCTATTCTCTAGGGACATCAAGATAAATTTATTTATGTTATATTCAGGTTTTTCAGTATGAATTATGTTTTTAAGACGATTCATAATTAAATCACTATTTAAAGATTTTTTATTCGTATCAGTATACGAATTAAGTTTTTCAGTTGGAATTATGTCTTTATGAAGATACATAAGTAAATCACTATTTAAAGATATTTTATTCGTATCAGTATCCAAATTAAGTTTATTTATAGAGCTAAGCAATTCACAAAACTCCCAGGCATTGTTACTACTCTTGGTGTCTTTCAAGTGCTGCAGGAGTCTCTCTTTTCTTGACATATAATAAAAAGGCACCTAAAAAGAAACAAAAAATAGTATAAAAATAACGACTGTCCAAATTACAGATTTTCTTCGTTGGAATGGTGTCTTGAAATTTTGTGAAAAATATTTAAGTTAAAAATTGAAAAACTTATTTCGAGGAAATAAATAATTTTGTCTCAATTTGAGCATGCCAAAAATTAGTTTCTCAAGATTTGATGGCTATAAAAAATGCCGTGATTTTAAAAGAAAGAGAAATAGAAATTTAAAAAAAATACTTTTAATGATTAAATACGAAAAATAATAAGAAAAAGAAAAAAAAATCGTAGTACACACATTCCTACATAATTGAAAACAGGAGGAGAGGGAAAGGAGGAGGGTAAAAAGCATGGAACCGGTTTTCTCCCCAGATGGCGTAATCGAGCGTTGCTATCGTGATTACTTACAAAGGCTTTGACACCTTATAAGCATAAGGAATATTTAAAAATTTTTATGTATTGAAGATAAGAAATTGGTGTTCAGGTAATGTAGGGGCATTGTAGGGGGTGTTTAGTTTTAAATATAATCAATCATCAATGCCTTTACCCATTCACACTCAAATGTATGAGGATTTTCCAGATGTAGATGGAGTTTGATATTGCGCATGTCCAGTGGACAATGTATAGTTTGTCTTTGTAAAAAACTCTCCATAGCCATTCGTCTGGAGTGGTGGCGGTGACTATAGTTACGAGGTTCAACTATTTCAAGGGTAAGTTGGGTCATTATTTAAGACAGTTTTTGAGTCGGGCAGGCAGGAGAAAGAGAACCAAGGAAGAAAGATGCTCCACTCTATAAATGCACTATTTCTTGTTTCCATAGCAGCAGATGGCCGTAGACTTCGTGGCGAGGGGAGTTCTTTCAATAGACAAACCATATAAGTGAAATTTGACCACTTGAATATGAGACAACTTTATATGTGCGACAAACACAATCATTGAATTTTTTTTCCTCTGACACTTACTTAGTTTTATTATCCAATATTGCACCTTTCGTAATTCCAGCCAGTCCAATATATTTTAAATTTAATAAAAACTGTTGTTTAAACAGCTTATCCCAAAAAGAGCAAATTGTCAAAAGAGAGAAATATAATAAATAATATAAAAATGCTTTGCAGAGATGAAGCCAGTTTAGTTTTTGTGTTTCAGTATTTTCTCAAGATTTAAAAACTATGGATGAATTTTAATTCTCATTTAAGTACAAAAGTTTTTTTCTGTTTTTTTGAAAATATATTAATTAGATAGCATACTATTGACAAGTGAATGAATTTTACGATGGGTATTATAGTAAAAAACAAATAACTGTTTTTAATAAGGTTTAAATTATGCGTATTTTTGTATAACTCTATTTTTATAACACTGTTTTTTGAATGGAAAAATATTCTAAGTTCTTTTGTGAAGTAAGAAAAAAACATTTACGAACGTGAAATTACAGAATTAAAAAAAGAATTAACAATTCGCTAATTAGAGTTGTAGGGTGATTTTATTTATTGTTTACTTAATGAAAATAATATTAATGAAAATAATACTAATATAATATTAATTAAATCATAAAATAATTGAGAATTCTACATTTTTATTTTAGAATTCTCTATTTTAAACTATTTTTACCTGAAACTGCCTTTCAGCAAAATTATTTGGAATACTAAATTTGCAATTTAACTAGAGGGAAGTTTTAAAATAGCTAATGTTTGTCCTCACATAAAAAGAATTATTATGCATAATGATACTTCTAATACAATATATCAGAATTTAAGAAATTACTTGACTCTATAAAAATCATGATTTAGAAATGCAAATAAGATAAGCAGCGAAATAAGGAATCACCAAATAGCAACCTTTCTCAGAATTAGAGGAAAGAAGATTTGTCATCGTTTGTGTAGCTTATCCTCCAAAGGTTCATTGTAGACCTCGCCCAAACTTCAGCTGTCAAGATAAGGATAATTGCTTTCAGGTGCGTTAAAAAGCCCCCCTAGAACGGACTTGGCTTAATACTCTCTTGGCATGATATAGCTATATTCTCTTGGCGCTTTTCTTATAAAAAGGTTACTATTTTTCCTGGTATGAAGAAGGATTTTTCCTCTCCGCAAGAGTGAGGTGGAAGTCTTAGTCATGAGAGGGAAAAGTCTTAGCTATCAGAGGGAAAATTTTCTAAGAATGAAAGAAGCNTATTAAATTTGCAATTTAACTAGAGAGAAGTTTTAAAATAGCTGATGTTTGTCCTCACATAAAAAGAATTATTATGCATAATGATGTTGCTGTAAGATCCTAAATATTACTAAAGATACTTCTAATAAAATATATCAGAATTTAAGAAATTACTCGACTCCATAAAAATCATGATTTAGAAATGCAAATAAGATAAGCAGCGAAATAAGGAATCACCAAATAGCAACCTTTCTCAGAATTAGAGGAAAGAAGATTTGTCATCGTTGTTGTAGCTTATCCTCCAAATGTTTGACAAAGTCAGACAAGGTCCATCAGACCGTTGACCCTAAGGAAATCTAGGAAGAGAAGGGGGGATACGTTTAGGACATTAATTAGGCCCATCTTACAGTATGGTTTCCCTGTTTATAACTGTGCCTCAGTCACCAACTTGGGTAAATTGAAGAAGCTTCAACTCAGTGCTGCTAGAAATATTACTGAACTAAGACGCAGCTGTCCGAGAGAAGTAGTTCTCTATTAGGCTAATTTGCAACCTCTCCAAACTAGAAGAAAGGCCAACCTTACCAAACATTATAACAAACTTTCTAGCTACGGTCAGCATAATAGAACATCCCTTTATTTAAACAACTGGAATAACAATCAAAGACTTAAGAAAAACAGCTTCTTCAGTCAGGCTAAGCTTCTGTGTTTGCCTTATAATGAAATAGAGGCCCACTTCTTAAAATTTTGCCTGAATCCCTCAGAGGGACTCCCAAGAATTTATTTCCACTTCGATTTTCGACTACCCCGCTCACCAAGAAGGTCTTCATTCCAGCTCATCTCTGACAGTTGACTTTAGAAATCACAAAAAAGATCCCATACAATGCTATAAAAATTTTTACGGACGGCATTTAACTGGGCGACTACGAAGGCAGTGGCATCTACATTGAGAAGCCAGGGGATAGACTGTCTATCTGCCTAAACTGGACGACTACGCAGGCAGTGGAATCTACATTGAGAAACCAGGGGATAAACTGTCTATCTGCCTAAACTGGACGACTACGCAGGCAGTGGCATCTACATTGAGTAACCAGGGGATAGACTGTCTATCTGCCTAAACTGGACGACTACGCAGGCAGTGGCATCTACATTGAGAAACCAGGGGATCTGCTTCCTCAACCCTGACTTCTCATCGGTCTTCAAAAGTGAATTAATAGCAATTGAACAATGCCTTGAAGCTGTTATTAATGACCTAATTTTCATCGTTTTATCATTAATAATCTAAAATTAGGTTTTATGTCGGAAAGTTAGATTCCTAGTTCTTGTGCTACATGCAGTCTAATGAAGGATTCGTTTTTAGTTTATGTACAGTCCACAAAAAAAAAAAAAAAAAAAAAAAAAAAAAAAAAAAAAAAAAAAAAAAAAAAAAGATATCACCCTGAATAACTTTTGTTCTAATGATCGAATTTTGCAACCAACTTAGTCCCAGATAATAAAATAATTATTACAGCAATTTTTTCAATTAAACTAACCATTAGTTGTCATCAAATAAACGGTTTGGTTGATAAACAATTATCGAAAAAGTACTCTTAAATTAATCATTTATCTTGGGGATAATTTACAATTTAATTGAGTTTTAATCAGTGAAAATTATACCTTTAAACATTATTTTTATCGAAAGTAAAATATTAAATTTATAGGCCGAGAAGAAACAATAACTTTGAATTATGGAAAGTACAATCACTACTGCATTACCATTTTTTTTTCTTCCGTTTTCAAAATTAACTCTCTTGATATACAGTTATTTTAAAGATTGCAACGACAACTGAAAAGCTTTCTTCGACAGTTTCGGTTCTTCCTTTTAAATAAAAAGAAATTAAAACTGTAAAGCACAGGTATTACTTTTTAGTACTTTAGTATTAAAGAGCGTATTTTTCTCCTCTAGAATCTGTTATCAATTTTTAAACTCCCGCAAAAATAAAGTATTCAGTATTATCTTATCCTCTAACATTTATGGGTACTTACAGAGTGATGGGCGTTAAGAAGAGGGGCAAGTAACCTAAGTCATTTTTAGAAAAGAGGAGTTTTAAAAAAAAAAACAGTAATTATGTTACACAGAAAATATATATATTGTTTTGAATTTTTTTAAGGGGTGGGAGGCGGCTATTTTTAAAATCTCTTTATGGAGGTGATCAGTTATATGTCATATCACTCTATATAATTGTTTTTCCGTACTGTAGTTTGTCATTTGAAAATAAAGTTCAAATTGGCAAACGATGAAATATTAAATTTTCATAGCTTCGTAAATTAGTAAAATTTTTTCTTTTATTTTAATAAAAAGAAATGTGTCGGTATAATGTTCTTATCAATGCATTTTTGTTGTATTCTTAAAGCGAAAATTTATTTGGGTAGTGGAGGTACGGAATTTCCCCACCAGCCTCGGAGGAATGGGTGCCCCGGACTAATATTGATCGATTAAAAGGAATTGGTTGTTCGGATTTTGAATCTATTGTTTTTAATTAAGCTTATTTTGATTATTAAAAAGGTTTTTTATCAAATTGAAAACGTAATTTAAATTATTTATTAGTTTCTTTCGCGTCATGCATTTTGATTTTTTTACGTTATTATTTGTGAATTTACCGTTTAAGTTTTTTACTAATATCCTTATTATTAATTATTGATATTAATATTTTTAATATAAAGATCAATTTTATAACAAAAAAAAATACTTGAAATAAAATTGTATCTGTATACAAATATAATAACAATAAAAAGACATTAAAACTAAAAAAAAAATTATTAGTATTACCTAGGACAGCAGTTTTCAAACGGTGTTCCGCGGAACCCTTGGGTTCC